CTTGGTCCCAAGTACATGGGGCTAGTGGCTGACACATGAACAGAGCTCAGAATAGTGAACATCTCCGACGCTAAAGAAATATCCCACTGGATAGCCTTGGTTCTAAAGCAAGCAGGATGTGGGTTCCTCGCACTTCTTTCTCTGGGACCAATATTCTGACCTTGGTTCATCTTGCGTGTTCTCTCTGAATTCAGGCTTCGTGGCTAGTGCTGACTTCTAAACTGAAACAGTGTCCCTGAGCCTCTCACATGAACTCAAAATATCCTCTGACAAGCTTCAGTTCAAATGTTACTTCCTCAAGGGGACCTGCTCTGATGCGCTATTAGGCGTAGTGCCCTTGCTGTATGCTCCTGAGGGCCCTGGGTTTAGCCTCTCACATGAACTCAAAATATCCTCTGACAAGCTTCAGTTCAAATGTTACTTCCTCAAGGGGACCTGCTCTGATGCGCTATTAGGCGTAGTGCCCTTGCTGTATGCTCCTGAGGGCCCTGGGTTTCCCTTGTCCAAACGCTCACCTCTTCTTCGGATGTTGTCTACATTCTATGGGCCTCGCGAAGATGAGGGGCTATGGAGTGCAGACCCTGCAGCTCGAGAGCCTGGGTTTGAATCCCAGCTCCGACTCTGGCTCACCGTGGGAACACAGAGAAGATAACAGGCATCTCTGGACCTCACACTCCTCTTCTGTAAAATGGGGATGAACTATACCCATCTCATGCAATTGTTGGGCCAATCAAGTGAGTTAGTGCATGTAATGTACTTTGAAGAGCAGCCAGCACATAATATACACCTGAGAAGTTCTGGAAGGAATAAATACTGAAAAAGCTTAGGCATCTCTGGAGACAGAGCTGCTTTGGTTTTCTGCTCTGTATGCCATACCACATGCCCTTGGGACACTGTCGGATCCAAGAAGAACACTTGATAAATACTTGCTGAGATGAATTACATATACACAGAAGGGCTTGCTTTAAAACTGCATTGCCGAAAACCTGATAAAGTCAAAACAGTGTGATGAGATTTTATACAGGGATTGCTCACTGCAGTGGCACTAAGAAGAGGGTCCAGGGTACATCTGAAATGCCCATCTGCAAGATTGCAGACAGTAAGACAGTACACACTGGGGGTATGTAGCACTTGGAAAGAATGAGGTGGAACTCAGGAATAATGTGGAAAGATCTCCAAGGTATGCCAAGTACGAAAGAAAAGAAGGTAAAATTAGTAAGAATGCATATGCATATGCCATTTATGTCTAGGGTTTCTGAATCTTTGCACTACATCCTGTAACACTGCTTACCCACAGGGAGGAGGGAAAGCTATTTGGACTGAAATATTTTTAAGTTCTTTACTATAGGAAGTATTGCATCATGTCCATTTATTATTTTTACTCAAAAATGTTTCAAGTCTCTTGCTTTAAAGACTGTCTTATGCTGCTGTGGCAGACTTTTCCTCTCTGGAACCAGGACAGGCCAAGGGAAAGAAGACGGTGAGTACTTGGGGAGAAAATAAAGCTGCACTGGCCCATGTGCTGGCTTACTGACTAGCGGAAGGGGGAGAGAACCCAGTAAAGTGGCAATTTTGGACCAGCCGGGTTTGTAAATATAAGAACTAATGCTGATTGAGAGCTTACATGTGTCAGGCGCTGGGCTCAGCCCTTTCTAATTATTGTCTTATTGAGGCCTACCTATGAGGAAGCACTATCATTATGCTTATTTTACCGAAGGGAAATGGAGACATGGAGCATTAAGCAACTTGCCGGAGGGCACACAGCTCAATAGCAGAGTGGCTGGGATTCAAACTCAGGCAGGGCCACAGCTCGGCCTGCATGCTTGTTAGTGTCCGATACACAGCAGCTGTCACTGAGGGACCAGTATGGGGAGGGGATGACAGAGGAAGTTCTCTAAAGATCTACCCAGTCCTATTCCTGTGACAGCATCTGGCATTTAACGAAAACTTCATTTTACTTTCAGCTTATAAGTGTCAACATAACACACTCCAGTTGGCTCCAAAATTTTATAAGCTGTCTCATATGGTAGGGAAATTGCACTAAAAGGTCAAGGCTGAAAAGCACCGTATAGTCAGATGGCTAAACATGGAATGGAATAATGGTGGGCATAAGAAAAGTTTCACTCCATAATGTCTGAGTGGCATTCCCAGACTAGTTTATGTAAGATGATCAGAGAGAAGTTTTCTGGAAAACATTTCCGTCTTGCTACCCACCAGGAATTTGGGTTAAAATACTAAGGAGTTATTTCTATGACTTTTTAATTACATCCAGGATATTCTTGAGGTTTTCAGGAAGTAGTGTGGGATCTACAAGTTAAACTGAGCTCAGTTTGCTTCCTGGCTCTAGCATTCTAGAACCAGCTGTACAATCTTGAAACAGCCCCTAAATGCTACTCGGCCACAGCATCCCTATCTAAAAATTCAGTGATAATAGCAACCTCTGTCAAAGTGATAAATACAATTAAAAGGGAACACAAAGCGACTCGATCTATATATATATCACTTGTAACATAAACACCTCAATACAGTGAGTGAGTTTACTTTTTCTTTTTTCCCAGACAAGATATTGTCTAAGCCACATGCTTTTTCTTTCCCCAATACTCTTTGGCTTTGCACCACCACTTCTACCCTTAATCTCTCCAAAAATGCAAATTGGATATGTTTTGTATTAGGGACTCAAGCTTCCCAGATGGGTATAATAACTGATTTCAGATAAGGACAATTCACTTTTGGCTAACCAAACAGATTCACACATGCTCTGTTTTTGGCCGCTTCTATAGGATAACGTATTGAAGAAGGTCCTGTACATCCATCCACTTAACCCCTTCCCTTCTGTCACCTCACTCCTAGGCCTTGGGTGACACTCCTGCCTTGGGCCTTCTCAGATCCCCAGTCAGCCCATGAACTGCCAGGTTCATACCTGCACACTCCAAGGAAACTAAGAAAATTGATCATTATAAATACTCAAAGGAAATATTCCTGAGTTATGGTCAGGAAGTTGTTAATATCCTAACACTGTCCAACATATATTCACATTTTGGGAATGAGCAGCAGGTACAAAGATAATGCCCTTCCCTTTCCCATCCAAAGAAGATCCAACCAGAAACAACATACCTAAGATTCATGATCACTACTTAACTGTTAGAAAAGGCCTAGAACATTTTGACCCAGTAATTCCACTCCTAGGAATCTAAATGAAGAAAAAAAGATACCTGATTCAAAAAGACATATGCGCCCATATGATTATCACAGCACTATTTACAATAGCAAAGATACGGAAACAACCTACATGTCCATCAGTAGATGAATGGGTAAAGAAGATGTGGTATATATACACAATGGAATATTATTCAGCCATAAAAAGAAAACAAATCCTACTATTTGCAATGACATGGATGGAGCTAGAGGGTATTATGCTGAATGAAATAATCCAGGTGGAGAAAGACAATACCAAATGATTTCACTCATTGTGAAGTATAACAACAAAGCAAAACTGAAGGAACAAAACAGCAGCACACTCACAGACTCCAAGAAGGGACTAGTGGTTACCAAAGGGGAGGGGTTGTGGGGGTGGGTGCGAAGGGAGAAGGGGATTAAGGGGCATTATAATTAGCAATCACAATAAAGGTAGGTCACGGGGAAGGCAGTACAGCATCGAGAAGACAAGTAATGGCTATATAGCATCTTATTTTGCTGATGGACAGTGACTGCAATGGGGGCAGAGGGGAGGAGGACTTGATATGGGTGAATGTTGAAAATACAATGTTGTTCATGTGAAACCTTCATAACATTGTATACAATGATACTTTAATTAAAAAAAAGAACAAAAAGGCCTGGAACAAGCACTACTGTCATATCAAAGCTATAATGGCCCTAATAAAATAATAGTCTACTTTGAATTTATCCTTTGTCTTTAAGTCTAATCTTGAAAATACCCCTATGCTCATCTAATAAATTCACATTGTGAGTTTATAAAGAGATACATGTAACATAATAACTTGACCAAGTTAATAATTTGATCTAGTTAATAGTATCACATTATGCCCTTCTGTCATGAATAACAACACTCAAAACAGCAATCAAGCTACAATAATTGTTTTTTTCCCCTCGCATTTGGCTATTACTTTAAAATCCCATTTGTGGGATCCCATCTTGTAGACATCTTTTCACCTGTGTGAAATGATTTATGTCCATGTTATTTAATGCAGTAGTGTTTTATAATATTAAATATATTTATCCAAAAGGAACATTATGTAACACTCCTGCAAAGATATTATATAACCCCTTAAAAAACAAGAAGTACTCTACTATAGAACTACAAAGACCTATCAGACATACTGCTAAATAAAAGACCAATATGCCAAACATCATGTACATTGTACTACCTTTTGTGCAAAATAGGAATAAGAACACAAACACAACACACACACATAAATATACACACACATGTGTGTGTTTGTATTTACATAAAGAAATTTCTAAAGAGTAATCAGAAACTAATAACACTGGTTCTAATATTGGGGGAAAGGAGAATTGGAATTCAGGCAGGTGTAGACAGATTACTTACTGGATATTTCCAAAATACTTTGTTTTCTGAACCACATAATTGTGTTACCTGCTCAAAAAAATACATTACAAGTCAAGTAGTGGTAAAGATGGCATTCCATTTCTTCAGGATTAAAACAATACTATCTAGAAGGTCACATTTTGTGACCGAACATATTCTTTTTCCTCTTCTTTCTAATAACATACATGGCCATATTAAAAAACAAAACCTATTTAAATTAATAAAAGAGAAAACAACAACTATTTTTAAAGAGCTCCACAAAGCCTTATTCCATATATTTTATTTTATAATTCATATTAAGGTGAACTGCAAACTCCTTTTAGCTGTTTAGACTTCACTCGTCCACGAAACATTTTTTTGCCTGGATGGCTCTGGGTCCTCTGAAGTGCCCACTAGGGAGGCACCCTCACTGCCACTGTACAGGTAAGCTCACCTTCATAGGTGCCGACTTCCAGAAGGGTCCCAGTGTGCTCAAGGTCCAGGAACTCTTCCACAGTCAGAAAGGTATAGTCCACACCAGGCACCTCTCCTTCTCTTGGAGATCGGGTTGTGCCTGCAGCACACAAAACAGATGCACAAGAAACCATCAGTCAACTAAAACAGGAAGCTCTGCATCCAGGTGTAATTAAAATAACCTGTTCAGTCAGCTGGAGCACCTAAGAGCACAGACCTAATCTGCCGAGACAGGAGCCTGGGAAAGGCAGCTGCCTTCCAGCAGAATGGCATCCACACGTCCACCTTCCGATACCTGGGAATCTCAAATTGGACAAAGAGAAAGCCACGTACAATGAATGAACCCAGAGAGAATTTTATCATTTTTGAAAATGCACTGAAATGAAAAAGGTGAGCTGGATTTTACATAGACAACATTCACCACCAGCAGCTTTTAGGACTCCAGTAAATACTAAAAAGTAATCCACCTTAATCTCGGAGCCTAAGGGGTTTTTATTTTTATCACAGGCCTCGAAATTCTTGTGTTCCTCAGGCCATCCGGCAAGTTCCAATGTAATAAGCCCTTTGAAGAAAATGACACCCACTGCATAAACACATCCCTACAGAAATGCAACTGCCCGAGATCTGTGGTTGGATATCTCCCAGGGATTAAAATGCTGCTGCTCTCCATGTAATTAATATGTTTGGTGAAGAGGCCACCCGTAAATTCTGACTGGAGAGGTGGGATACTGCATTTGCTAGAAATTCTCCCCCTGAATTAATCTTGTCATGCTCTCAATAACTAACAAAATAACAATTCTTCTTATGAAAAAGCATAGGGCTCCTAAAGTATTTAAACCACCCAGCTCAGGTACTGGGTTGTAGACCTATCGTTTTAGCATAGTCTCTACCAAAAGTATGGAAGTAATGTGGAAGGTAAAGAAGCCTGTTTGTGTATATCCAGAAGTCAGTCTACTCTTACACTGTTTCACAAGTTGTCCCCATTTCTAGTTCCTGTGACAGATGATGACAAGTCCTTTGAGGTAGTCCCCAACTTTAAAATTTTATATCTCAGTGTCAGACACATAGTAGGTCCTCCAGAAACATTAAGAATACCTTACACGGTTGACAAGCTGGTGTCTAGAGTGGGAACGATGGGCTCATGATTAGGCTCCCCAACATGTGGTCTTGAGCATGTTCCTTAGCTTCTGTTATTTCTTAGTTTCCTCATCTGCACAGCAGGGATAATAACTACCCACATTATATGTCTGTTGTGTGTACTGAAAGGGATAAACCTTTTAGAAGGCTTACCTCAATAACTGCTAGCACATATTATAGTCTATGTTATTGTTAGACTGAAATGAATTGGTAGAATGTTATAGTTCAAATGATACACATATCATTGCACATGTCACAATATATTTCATTTTTCAATAAATATTTACTGAGGCCCAAATACACACCAGGCACTGAGGAATACAATACAATTTAGGCACTGGGGAAACAATGGTAAACAAGAGAAGGCCTTGTTTTTGATATTTTACTGGGTAACACAGAAAGTAAATATGTATATGAATACAGCATATACTGTCAAGTGGAAATAATTCTTCTGTAGGAAAACAGGTGAAACTGTCTCAGAGCAACATAAAGGGTTTGGAAGCGTCTTGGAGCAAGGAAGCAAGGTAGAGAGCAGGATGATTAGATGAATGATTAGGGAGAGCCTGGCTGTCCATCTAAGTTGAGAGCCATACAAAGACGAAGGGAAAATGTCCCAGATAAGGGGAAAAGCCAAAGAAATTGTGGCAGAGCAATGGAAAGAGGTTAGAAACGAAAGCAAGGAGCCGGAGTATAGAGGCCACAGAGAACACTTCATATTTGATAATAAGGATGCTGATAAGCCACTAGAGGGTTTTGTACAGGGTGGTACCACGATTTTTTCAAAAGGTCTTTGACCTTTACAGAGAACAGGCTGTGGGCCGACTACTAAGGGGAGATGGGCACGAACAGAAGCACGGGGGCCAGTTAGGCGGCTATGACAGTGTCCAGGTGAGAGGAAACCGTCTCTCCAACAAGAGTAGAGGGATGGAGGTAGAAAGAAGCAGGTAGATTTTACATCATGAATGGCTAATATTTTAAGTAGCCATAGTGTAGTCCCCAGGGTACACGTATTAAAAGTACACCAACTCACCAGACCGTGCTAGGTCCATATTTTGGAGACAGAAGTTGCTGATGGTAGCGGATATAGGGTGTAAAGAAAAAAACCAGGAGAATAAAGACTGACATCTTTGTCTTTGACCCATGCAGATGGGGAGTGTCATTTACAGAGACCAAGAAGACAGGGTAAATGGTTTTCAGGGGGGCAATAAAATGAAGAGTTCACTTTTGCACATGGCAAGTTTGAGATGCCTAAGACACCTAGGTGGAGAGAGCTGTGAACGGTTGACTATAAAGTCTAAAGATCAGACATAAGCTTGGGAATGATCAGTAAACCACAGGTGTCTGAAGGCAAGAGACAGAAAGAGAGTAGAAATCTAGGGAGAGAGTATAGAAAAAGAAGCCAGAAGTTTGGGTAGAACATGATGACTGGTAACTTTCAGAAACTGCGAATAAGAATCAGGTCCTCCAAGGAGTCTAAAAGGCAGCAGCCAGCAAGGCAGGAGCAGGGAAGAGGGTGTGCTGTCCTGAGACAAGTGAAAAAGCTGCTCAGCCGGCTACCTGGAAAACACACACAGCCAACATCATGCTGGGAAATGCCCGTGCAGGGCAAGAGCAGAATTGCTTTGAAGTTTTCCGTGGAAGGCTCCGTCCTAAATGTGTTCTGCACAGAAACGTTCATACTCAGCCTCCAAACCAAAATTCCATTAACTTAATCCCTTCACCTCTCTCTCCCCGCAAAAGATATGAGGATAAATAAAACCAAACAGAAGACTTGCTGGGTTTTTTAAATCTTCCATAACCAGAAAATGTTATTGGCGGGTTTTTTTTTTTTCCCTCCTCTAGCCATCTGATTTTTTGCCCTTTCTTTCAACCGTGTTTTCAGAACCAATTTGTCAGATTTACTTTAAAGACAACAACCACCCCTGACGGTTAATTTCCTGAAAGGATTTCAAAATAATGGAGAACTTCAAAAATGCTACATTTTAAAGGAAAAATGTAACTAGCAGATCCCATTTTCCCCGTGTAAATAAATAAGCTTAGATGGTCTCAGAGCTGCGGGGGAAGGAGGTAGGCGGGGTGGTTAAGTCTCCACCCATAAAACCTTCAGGGTTTATTACCCAGACAAAACCTTTCTACTCTGCAGGCTAGCAGGAGGTTTACTCCCAGTTTTCCTCTGAGCAGCCCGCCAACGTGACCAGGCTCCATTCAGTGACACCAGGGAGAAAAGGGCCAGGGAGGGGACCCCGCCTCCTCTTTTCTTCTACCAGAATGACAGGCTGCCGGCTGGACACACGCCTGGCAGATGGCATTTCAAAGGGTTTTCAGGAGCCATCTGGGGTGGGTACAATTATTACAAACCATGCTTCTAACAAAGCCAGAAGGGTTACTTCCTGGCAGAAGAGAAGTAAAACAAATTCTATCATGTCAGGGACAGCATAG